TGTAGGTTCTTAGGGTTTAAATTCTTAGTAAGTTAAGGATCCAGGATAAGGTAAATATAAACCACTTAGACAGGTTACATCTGAGTTCTCTTTGTAAAATCTATTTATAGATTATTGTTTAAATAATCAAGTATATTAGTATAGATATATGTAGATTATAAGATAAATTAGCCTCTAATTGAAATAATGAAAAGATTGCTGAAGCAAAAAAAAATTATAAACAATGTATCAAATTATTAGTCTAGTTAACTAATTTTTAAGTATAATCTTTTTACTAATCAAATTTATTAGTTTTCTAAACTCCTTTAGTAGTAGTATCTTTTTTTTTTTTTTTACTTTTCTATCGATATATTTTATAGTTTTGTTAGTAAAATTTAGGGTTATGGAACCTGAACTCTAGTAGATATAGGTCTAAATTTTAGTTAGAATGAGGTTTTTGGAGGCACTGACCATTTTTGCTTGGTACCCGAGGTGTTAAACATCACTGGTGCGATTTAGTAAACCGATAAAAGTATTCATAATTTATATTAAACTATTTAAAAATAATATAAAAATAATACTATAATATCAGTGCTAGTTTAACGTGAATTATAAATGTGCCTATAGATATCAGAATCTTTTCTAAAAAATAAAATTTTTTCTATAAATTTTCATCCAGATGCTCGTTATTAGAAATGAAAAAAACAAATTACAAATAAACTATTACATAAAAGCCTATAAAATAATTCAAATTTAGTTTCAAATTTATAAACATAAATCTCTAGAGATACGTCTAGTAAACATATTACATTAGTCTGAGTACCGCAAAGTGAAAACAAGTCTAACTATAGATTATTATAAATATTTATACTTTCTGGTTTTCACTTGGCGACACTCATTTAATGATTAAGCATTGTCACTTCAAACTTATATTACTATTAATTATTAGTCATTCTCTTATGTTCAATTGTTTATTTCACAAAAAAAGTAAATACATTTAATCTTTAAACTATCCACCAGCATAATAAATTACAAGTATAAATCTTAACCATTTTTTAAAATTTCATATTTATAAAAGTTAACATTTAACATACAATTATCATATTATAACCTTCTTTATAGATCGATCAGTGGAATTAGACAAACCAGTTTCTAGATCGCTGATAACAAGTTCAACTTCTCGCAACAGATTATTTTTCCGTGAAGCTTTAACGAATTCTTTAATGGATTTTATAAATTTAATTCTGGAATCCTGCGAGTAATTCTTTGATTCGGCAAATTCTCGTAATTGATTAACGATATTAGACTCATTATAAACTAAAAATAAATAATTTAATAAGTATCAATATAATGAAATTGTTTATAATAGATACGCGATAAACAATGTATACCTGGCGAATCCGCTTGAATTTGTTGTCTTAACTCAATTGCAAATTTGGAAGAATGAAGATCGAATATTTCATAATTTTTCAACGGCCTATATCGTATTACTCTCTTTATACTTCGAGCACGGCCATCGGATACATGATTAGTTTGCATCTCGTTCGTACCACCCTGATTAGACTTATCTAGTCCGTTATGTTCTACCTCAATCGGTACGACTTTCTGCGGGATATTCATTTCATCCATAAGATTTTTTGAATTAACATTAGTTAAATTTAGTACTTCTAAATTATTGATTATGGGATCAGTTACTTCTTGGTTTTTCAAAGCAGTACTCAGCGAAGCAAGCATTTCCAATCCAGAACTGTTTGATGTTGATTTATTCGTCACCGATATGTTTTTTTCTGAAATATTTGAAGTATCAAAGGAAATAGGTTTCATTTCAGCTGATTTAATTTCTGATGTACTATCATTATCCATCGTGGCATCCATCAATATTTGTGACTCAGTAGTCTGAACTTCATTTGATAAATCAGAACCCATGTCAAATGTTCGATGTTCGTCTAGGTCCATTTTCGATGAATCGGGTGAAAAAGGTGAAAACGATCCATTTGTGGGCGTCAATGGTGGAGTAAGTGGTTTAGAATTGACATTTAATCTTCCAGCTGGTTTGTAACCTTGAATTTTTGAATTATTTACATCGAACGGATACTTTGGTAACTTTATTGATCGAACTTTCGTTGTAGTAGATCCTATC